TCACAACTAAGAAAAAAAGAACGAAAAGCAAAGGTGTCGTGTGTCTAACTGCCTCTTCGGCGGACGTTCCTCCTTTCTATATTTTCTTGGCATCTTGGCTTCGTCTATGTGCAATCCACAGTTCGGCCGTGCATTAACGGCATCTAGGAGGTCCCGGTTGAGCTGGACTCGCTGGAGACGGAGCCCTCTGGAGTCAAAACTCAAAAGAATCCGTGAGGGATCCATCGCGGGAAGTCAGGGCGGCCGGGCGGTCGGTCGGTCGGTTGGTCGGTCGGCCAACGTCGGAGCGTCGGTGTCGCGTGTTGTCTGTCGTGTGCTCTGCGTGCATATCACCAAAACTCCCGTCTGCCTGGTGGCGGACCCCGATACCACTTGGCGGTCGTGTTGCCAATGACCCGCACGGGCGGACGCCGATGCGGCTTGAAAAAGCTGCGACGTCCTTGATTGGCTGCCAAGGCGGTCTGTTTTTGAGGCGGCAAAGCTTGACAGAGCTTGACCTCACTCTGCCCTACCAGACCTATGTACCCCGACATCCTGTTCCACGGTCTTACCCGCGTTCTGTTTCAACCAGAATCACCGAATTCTTCCAAGTCTTCCACGTTGGAAACAAGGAAGCCTCAGCACAGGCATCAAGTTTCATAGTATGTCTTAGAACACCATCGCTTCATGCCGTGCCCTCGCTGCGTCACTGTTGCCGGAAATGCGTTGCGCAATAATGAATGATATCAGCGTTAGACTGTAACACGTGGGCGCACCGAGCGAGCAGTGTCCGTCGTTGCCTGTTCCTGTGCGTTGTTGATCCATCTCCTCCGAACTCTTTTACTTTCTAGCGGGAGCCTTTGACATTGCGATCCTCTCATCCGTCAAGGGTTCCGTCACAAGGAAACCCAACTTTGACGGTCCCGAATGTCAGATGAACAAGACTGACCGTTTCACAAAATCTACATCTCTAGATACACAGCTTTTTACTTGTTTTTTTATTTAGGAAGCTCGTAGTCAAGACCCTGAATATCCATTGGTTTCTTGGGGGACCGGCATCCTTTGCTATGATGCCATCAAATCCAATGCATAGATGCAAGGGGGCAAGTAAAGCGAAAAAAAAAAATATCAAGAAAAAAAAAAGGCCGGAAGCGCACGGGGAAACCATTGTCAGCGGTCAGGGTCTGCAACTCCAGTCTCCAATGAGTTCGACTGCTCCATGGAGCCCCGTTCCCCCACAGATTTTGGTGCCGTTGGAATTGGAAATTGAGAGGAAAAATTCCCAACATCTGCCAATGACAGTGCTCGATTCGACCACGACCTGATCTGGTCCGTACAGGGCCATGCCTTCGGGTGTTCGGCGTGGAGTCGCTTGTAACTGCCCCCCCTGTCCATTGATCCGTCGAGGTAGCTGTACCCCTCTTGCATGCTGAATAATGGTGCAGAAACAGGTACCGCTACCCCTCCACTCTTCTTCAGCCACCTTATCCCAAACTAGAAAGAGACGGCTGGTATCCCAGCACCATCCCCAAGCTCTTCCATCCTATCCTGCCATAAGAACTCGCGACAGGTACCGGCGTTGTGGCCATCGAGTCTCATAACCATACTTTTTTTCTCCAGCGGTCTTGTCCTTCTCTTCCTTCATCATCATCATCATCGTCTGATCTGATCTCCAGAATCAACACGCCTGCTGTGCTGTTGGTCTAGGGATCTTGAGCAAGAGGACAAGCCTCCCCCGTATCTCCTTGATGCCATCCAAGGACCTACCTACCTACCAAAGGGGAGCCAACCTTGCACCTACTCTTTGATATCTTTTTTGATCCATCTCGCCATCCTATAAATCTCTTCTTCTTCTTCTTTATATACCCCGCCCATATACAAAACAACCACCTCAAGTCTTCAACATGGATGACGACGTAATGCGTCCCGACACTCACCACGACCCTACGCCGGGTCTGATCCCCGTGCCTCACGGCCCGGCCACCGGTGACGAGGCTCTTCAGCTTCCCTTCGGCCACACGCCTGATCCCGACCACGAGAAGGCCATCTTCGGCTACCTCACACAACCTGACGACATCTACACAAAAGACGGCACCTACTGGGCCGACCTGCCCTTGCGCGAGAGGATAGCCTTCGTCAACAAGGTCCAGAATGAGGAGGCGAAGCAGGAGCTCAAGGCCATCGGTCGCATGATGAAGAAGGACCCTCTCAGCCCCGTCTCGTGGTACTTCCGCAACGCCGTCCTTCCCGGAGCCGGTCTTGGTCTCGAGGGCTACGTCCTCTTCAGTATCGGCAACATCGAGCCTCTCTTCAAAGCCACCTGGCCGCAATGCTGGGGCCACAATGCTACCGAGTGCAGCAGCAACTGGATCGCTGCCGTAACATATCTCGAGGTTATCGGTATTATGGTTGGCCAGCTGGTCGTTGGTGTTATTGGTGATTGGATTGGTCGTCGCTGGGGTCTCATTCAGGATGCCGCCATCATGTTTGTCGGTTTGCTCATGCTCACGGCTTCTTGGGGTTTGACCCTCCAGGGCTGGGTCATCTGCTATGCTTGGTCTCTCTTCTTCTACGGCAAGTTCTCTCTCAAAGGCACAAAGTCGCATTACGTGCAAAGCTAACACATTCTGTCTGCAGGTTTCGGTGTCGGTGGAGAATATCCCATTACTGCTACCTCCTCCATGGAGAACTCTGTCGCGTCCGGAAAGCTTTCCACCAGAAACGACCGTCTTCACCGTGGCCGCAAGGTTACTACCGCCTTCTTGATGCAGGGTTGGGGTCAGCTTATCAACCAGGCCCTCCTCATTATCCTCCTCCTCATCTTCCATGCCGGTAGCGGATCCCCGCCCTATGGCCTCGCCACTGTCCAGTGGACATTCAGATTGTCGTTCGCCATTCCCGCCGTCGGTACCCTTTGGCTCGTCTACTACAGAACCTACAAGATGCCCCACGCCAGCCGACAGCTTATTGCCGCCAAGAAGAAGACCAACGTTACCGGTTACGATTTCGATTCCCTTGCCATGACCACCAGGCACTTTGGAGGCCGTCTCCTCGCCACGGCTGGTTGCTGGTTCTGCAACGACGTCTTCTTCTACGGAAACAAGCTCTTCCAGGCTCAATTCATCGCCGTCATCAGCGGCGGCTCGAGCTCTGTCTTGACCGGCTGGATTTGGAACTTGTACAACGTCATCATCTCTCTTGTCGGTTATTACTTGGCCTCGCTCCTCATGGACAACCGCTTCTATGGCCGCAAGATGATGCAGCAAGTCGGTTTCCTCATGTGCTTCATCATGTTCGTCGTTCCCGCCTTCAAGTTGGAGTACTACACCAGCCCCGCCGGTATCAAGTCCTTCCAGGCCATGTACTTCCTCTCCAGCTTCTTCAACCAGTTCGGCCCCAACAGCGTCACCTTCCTCGTTGCCGGTGAGGTCTTCCCTACCCCCATCCGCGCCTCCGCCCACGGCTTCAGCGCTTGCTGCGGTAAGGCAGGTGCGCTTCTCGCCTCCGTTCTCTACAACTACATCGATACCCAGACCAAGTTCTACGTCGTTCCCTGGTTCGGTCTCGCCGGCATGATCCTCACCTGGCTGTTCCTCCCCGACACCACCGGTCTTGACCTCAAGGAACAAGAGCGCCGGTGGAGCTACATCCGCGCCGGCAAGCCCGAAGACTACCACGGCATCGCCATCCACCCCATGCACCTTTCCCTCTGGGAGCGCCTCCGCGGCGTTGGCAAGCACTACAACCCTGAGCTCGACCACAAGCAGAAAATCGAGGACATGCGTGAGGAGTGGGCCGGCAAGGAGCGCATGCGCCGCGAGAAGGAGGTCAACGGCCAGAACTCCATGGGCGACGATCTCGAGGTGGATGACTTCAACGACCAAGTCCACCACTACTTCCGCAACACCACCGACCAGGGCATGTTCGTCAACGACGGCTCTGCCGGTCCCAGCACCCACTCGAGGTCGAGGAACAACAGCGAGCCCCCCTTCGCTTCGGGAGCGAACTCAAAGGAGGTCACGCAGGAGAAGATCCGCCCCGACAGCCCTTCGACTACACAGACCCCGTCATCGACGCGGCCTGTAAGTGAGAAGGAGCAATAAATAAGATTTTGTGTTGTGGTGGGGTTTGGCTGTTTTATACTTTGCATCGGATGTGTACACAAAAATTCGAAATGTTAATGATGGGAAAATGAGGACTGCGCAATGATTCGGGGAACAAAGAAGAAGAAGAGAGGGAGTCAAATGAAAGCACAGAGCTGGGCCGGACATGGACATGAAGGAGTCCTGGGGGATAGTGACACGATGGGATGGAAGAAGTTTTTCCTCCTGTTCTTTTTAGGCGGGCAAGGCGGGCGAGCCTGACTTTTAGCATTCTACTGGCGTATTTTTAATGTATCATGATACCCTCCAATGCGGAAATGATGTTGGATAACCCTTTGCTTCCTTGTTCCTCGTAATCTGCATGCACGTGAATGGGATTGGTTCGGCGAAGGTTGGCACAATACAGCAGAGTTGATGAGATGAATAACTCGTTCAATTCGGGTTGAATACTTTGATCGATTTGACAAAACATTGACCAGATGGATAGTCGATTGATTGATCAATGATGGAAAACGCCTGTCAATGAGGGCCTCGCTCGATATTAAACGATTCATCGTTTTTGATTCTCAAGACGGCTCTGATACCCAAAAGTATTCTCAGGTATGCATGCCTCTTCCGGCGCGCGCAATTGATCACCCTGGTTACAGTGTCAACCTTCAACTTTCTACAACCGATATTCAAGATTGAGGATTGTGTCATCAAGATATCTAAAAATCGCCGAGCCAAAAACTCACTGCCATGACAATGACATGGTATCCAAAACAGCCAAAACATCGCCAAGACGCCCCCACCTCTAACACTTCACTGCCAATCTTCCCCGCCGGGCTTGTCTTGCCTCACCATCCGATATCATCTCCCTCCCTCCCATACCACCTCCCTCATTACTTTCATAACCCTTGAAGACTCTTTCTCATCCAGCTCTACCATTACCCATTCCCCTCCAATCCATACATGGCACAGACAACATCCCAATCCCAAACCGCACTCGGCTCTACATCCTTCAGATCCCGAATCCAATCCACATACAGCTCCACTGTCTTCTTGGCCTCCAACTCGAACCTCTCTCCTCCACACAGCGTATCCTTGATCTTGGTCAGAATCGGCACCTTGTCGCTCAGAACCAAATGCAGAAGAACCAAGATCCCAAAGAAATTCTGCGTGAAGAAGAAAGGGCAGGGCACGAACCGCTTTTGCAGAGACGAGGGGGACATGGCAATGGGCCACTTGAGCGAGGCCTTGAGACACTCGGCGGCGCCGATGGCGTCTTCTTGCATCATGGCGTCCGGGTGGTGCAGGGCTTTGTAGAGGAAAGGGCGGTGGATGAGGTACTTGGCGTAGTAGTAGCGGGAGCGGAGCAGGGCTACCTGCACGTCGTGGGCATACGGATAGCGGATAGGAGGGGCGTCGAGGTCGGCCGTGAACATTTGTGGTTGAGGCACTGGTTGATGTTGGGGACCAAGGCCGGAGTTGAGAATCGGCTGTTGGTGGGACATTGGGGGGGAGCGAAGGCCGGAAGCTGCGACATTGGCTAAGGCTTGTGGCATGACGCCGCTTCCGGCCATGGAGACCCTGCTAACGCCCGGGCTGACGGAGTTCATGAACGTGGTGCCTTCTTGGGGAGTTGGAAGCATGGGAGAGACAGCCGGGGTGCTGTTCGTGGTCGTAGTTGCCGTTGCTGTCGTGACGGGGCTGTAGATGCTTGGGCCGTTGTAGGCGGTTGCGCTCGACGGAAAGGCGCCGGGTGTGTCTTCTTGCCATTGTAGGTTAGAGGGAAGGTAGCTACGCCAGCGCTCGAGATCCGTTGCCATATGGCGGATCCTATTTGGGGTGCTGCTAGTGCTGGGAGCAGTGGTGTTGTATGGTGCTGCAGAGGATGTGCGTTAGCGAGTGTTGGGCAAGAGTATCGAGTGGTCAAGGAGAAGAAGGGTGCTTACATCGACTGAGCGTCCCGTGAAATTCCACAAGCAGCCTCCTAAGAGCTATCTGAGACGCAAAGTGCTCTTGGTATTGTGTTTCTTGGTTGCTGACATAATCGTAGTCTGTGAAGCTGGTGCTGAAGTCGGGGAGGCTGACTACGTTTTCCATCTTCTCGAGGCCTGTAAGTGGGAACCCTAGCTCAAGGTTGAGACAACTGGCAAACACCGATTAGCTTGAGTTGACATTATCAGGACATATCTCTGGTACACACGTTTCCATGACGGCACAATGCCAAAATGCTCTTCTGAGCAAGTCTGCTTGTGGAGAAGAGAGCACCCCTGGGTTACTGCCATGTTTTAGTTTGCATACTGGACAAATGAGGAGGCATATTATTGACTTACATCATGATCAAGGATTGGCAAGCCAAAGACGCTTCTCTAATCATTTTCCAAAAACCCTGCGGTTGTTAGTACATGATCACCAAAGCGACAGGTAATATTTGCACGAAACAAGGTAGCAGGTATATAGGGGTAACATACCATGGGATATGAGCAGGTTGCGCAATAGGTACTGTGTGTATTCTTGTGATTAGAAAGAGGAACCACAGGTTCTCAGAACAACGTGCTCACCTAGCTAACGTGTATGCCTGTACCATCTCGAGGCTCGTCTCGGCAACACTAAAGCCCAAACGTTTCCTCGCTTCGTTGAACAGCGTGATGCCAGGTGGGTGACTTTTGGAACCTCCCCTCATACCGCTCGGCCTCCCTCCGTGCGCATTGATGGGTGCACCCCTATAGTTACCTAGAGCAACCTCGCCTAGAGCAAAGACGAGAAAGGCAATGGTGGACTGTAGTCTGTGATCGATTCCGTTCTTGAACAAAGTCGGAAGTGTTTGAGTTAAAAAGGTATGGCGGTCCAAGATAGGATGCAGGAGGCTAATGGTGTCAAAGTAGGCCTTGCTCAACGTTTGCATGATGTCCCAATCCAATCCAAAGGCTGATATTGGGGCCGAGACAGGCCCAAGATTATAGTTTTCGCCAGTTTGCACGCTTATGGGTATAGTGTGGTCCATTGGGAGATGAGCACCAAGTGCCATGGCCGGACCGTCAGTCGCAACCGACTTGAGGTTACGGGTAGGGCATTTGGGCTGAACGGTCGCCAGGTGGCCTTGTATTGCCGGCCACGCCAGCATCTGATGCACAGCAGACACATATTGATAGTGATCCTCAGTGAGCGAAGCAATATTGGGGAGCGCATGAGGCCCCCCATTAGACAGTCCTTCTGGCGAGTGGTGGTGTGCTACGGCAGGATGTACTCCATGGATGCCAACGGAATGTCCAGTGGAAGTGGTGAGAGGGGGAGGAGGGGCGAGGTGAGTTGCCGTCGTCGTCGAGTTTGTATTGGGATGACATGTGGCCACTAAATGGTCCATGCGCCAACTCAAGTGGTCAATCTTGTTCTCGAGGACATTGAGAACATCTAGGACCTTGAGCCTATCCAGGATTTCTACCAGCGTCTTGTCCTTCCTAGAGTCCGTATTAGATGGAGTCATCTCAGGAGGCGTAAGGCGTAGACTTACTTTGTAGGCTGTGGTTCCCTGTAGTGACACTCGACATTGAATCTCTGGCAAGTGCCGCACTTTGGTCTTTGCTCGTCACATCTCTGCTTGCGAGCCCTGCAGGTATCGCAGGCCTGAGCGGCGATGGCACCGCGCTCTTTCCTCAGACTTGTGCCTGGCAAAGACGGTGGGAGAACTGTGCCATTTGAGGAGGCTGGCGAGCTTGTCTGAACGGGGTAAGCCGCAAAGTCGCTCATCTTAGGGACTACCTGTAATCGCTGCACCCGAGCAAGGAACCGGGTGGTCGTGCCCGTCCTGTCTCGAGTCCGAGTCGTGCCGACGTTTCTGATCAGGTGACGGTTGAACTACTGGTTCTAGTTTGCAAGACACCAGAAGCGAGCAAAAGGGGGTGGTTAGGAAGACCGCCACGAACCCCAGGAAGACACACAAGCCTAAACTCTTCTCTGAGTGGTATTCTCTCGGCTATAGCCCTTTGCCGTGGCCCTTGGCAGCCTATAGGGTGGGTGTGTGGACTTTGAGGGGGGTGCGAGGCTGTCTAGATCTGTTGGTAAGAACACAGTTGCGAAATCGGCCCGGGTTTTCCTGTTTGGGAGCTGTAGCTAGACGGAACAAAAGATTTGTGAGTAAATCGGCGATGAAGTGCAGCGAAGATGGTGCGGAAAGACGGAGCTGTAAGGTAGTAAAGTGTAGTTAAAGTGCTAATGTACCTAAACCTGGCATTGCTATGGTGCACAAACTGGGACACGACTGGAACGATTGGGTACAAGGGAACAGCTTGAGAAATCAAGACCAGTAACAGCGGCAGCAAGATGACAACTTGAAGGCCACAAGACCACTTTGTGGGGAGTTTATTGGAAAGGCCAGAAGTGCTACTGGTTCCATGGCTATGACGAGACCCTGTGTCGTCGGGCATGATGGGAACAGATTGGGGGGGAGAGGAGGGGCACTGGCCAGGAACACGCATTGTGGAAATGGGCATCATCGCGACAAGAAGATCCCGGGCCTTTTTGGGTTTAATGAAAGGAACCCGGGGGGAAGGGGCGAAGGGACTAAGCTGAAGCCACTACAGCTGAGTGGTTGCGGGCATGGACCGTTCCAAGTGCAAGTAGTAGAATCGAGGGAAGCGCCAGATTGTCGGTCGACTCTGGCAGGGAAGGGATAAGTGACTGCAGTGAGTTGAACTATCGTCAACGAGAACTTGTAAAGGTTATGGTGGCAGTCGACGTCATTGTACAGAGGAAAAGGGTCCGTACCTACTAATTGGCGGAAGCACAGATCATCTCCGCCAACCAACCCTCAGTCATCCCAGTCCTCCTTCCTGAAAGAGCGCTCCAGTTGCATCATGCCTTGGCAGCAATCAAATGACCCCCAAATGTCCTCCGACCCTCCTTGCCTCGCTATCACTCTGTGATTTGTGCTTCATCCATTACTAGCAGTTCCCGACGCGGGGCTGTGTCCCTCGCGGATGGATGCTCACTGTTCCGCCGTATCAATCGCCATTCACTTCTTTGTGATCCTTATGCTAGGGTCGCGGGTTTTGCCAGATTTGGCCTGTCATCTCCAGTGTCGCAGGGCTCGATTGAAGAGCCTCAAAAATCCAAGCACGCTGACACTTGACTCAAACCGACTAATCAATACTGTCTTGCTCTTGTAGCGCAGATCACAAACCCAGAAGGAAAGAGACGGGAATCATCAAAGGAAAAGCATGAAGTTTGTTACCTAGGTAGGTGGGCATCAGGCTCCAGATTCTTGAGAAAACCATTTCATAGAAGGAAGGAAGGAATGACGTTGAGGGCTCCAGCCTGCTTACATCAGCAATCTATAGGCGCTAGCCAAGATAGGCAAGGTGCAATTAGACAATTACCCCACATTTGGTAGTGCACGCAGCAGAGAGCCACAAACACCCCTAACCCACATATGAATCTCCTTGGCTGCAACCCCTTGCTTGAACCGCATCCTCTTCCAAGAACGTCGGGAGTGCCTGCCGAAGTCCATTCTTCTACATTATAAAGCTGCTATCGTCAGTACGCTGGTATACGCTATCAACGGCCCCGGGAGTTATCAGGTGCCCGCCCACTGGCCAAGTTGAGTCCGGATAACCTGGCTGTTGTTCCGGAGTTCAATGCTCATGCGCTTCCCTTGCCAGTTGCCAACATGAACTGACCCAACACCTACATGGGTCCTGCAAAGTAGGCGGAAGTAGATCAGTCGGGTTGCAATCTCACAACCCCACAACCAACGGATTCGAACATCATTCACTGGCTTCCAACCAGCACCTGTCATTTACGGTAATTGCGACGCTTTGGTCACTTGAGTGATGAGGCTTTCTTTCGTCCTCATTACAGGAATCAAATGCCTGCTTGTTGTTCAGAGACATCATGGTAAATCCTGAGCAGGAAACAGATGTGGTTTTATCGAACAAAACATGCATTCTTATACCATGATATTCACACGATCCAGCACTTCCAAACCATCATCCAAAGAAGCAACCATGGTCATATAAAAGATCATCCCGTTGACGTATTGGACACTCCGCCCCTTCAAGACTGTCGGCGTGGAATCTTACGAAATATGTAGTAGTGGGAGTGGGAGTTCATAAGTTCAGACAGATATCCACATAACGTTCTTCAACTTTCGCATCTCTTGCTTGTTCCATTACGGTGAATTAGAATATTTTCCACTCGGTAAGATATATACTAGATGTCTGTAGAGGTATGATCTTAGGTTGGCCCTGTATTACAGTATGGAGAACCCAGTTTTTGTACTGTGGCTTTAAGGTACTATATACTACAATCTTACAACTACACTCTTTGTGTTCAGCTAGATTTCGAAAAAATCTACCAGTCGCTAACTCACATTACATACTCTGATTCCATACATCTAATAAAAGCACATACACAACACCACGACTTCTTACAGCCTAGCATCAATGAACACGAAACAGTAAAGAGATTTCAGTAAGAAACCTTAGCTTGCGTCATTACCGTGTATTACTGTACAGAGAGTACAGCTGCGGGTCATGTACGGCAATGCAAAGTCTCCTCAACAGCCTCTACACAGTACAGCGGCTCCAAACACAACCTTATGACCGAGTGGTAACCCCGCCTTTGTCAAATGTCTCTCGTCGGTTGGAGTATCTGCTTTGTGCGTTCTATAAACCGGTGGTCGGATATTCATCAATTTCTACCAAGCCGCCGGGCCACTCTTTTCGCAACTTTCATCAAGACCTCCGTCGGATCGGCCCTCTTATCAAACCCGATTAGGCGGCAGCTTTGGCACTGATTGGTCATTAGGTCCCTTCCACTTGGTTTGCATGGCGTGAGTGTTTTCTCTTATCTTATCGATTGCCTTTCCAACCTAACCCAAGAAACCTACCTAGGTACGTACCTGTCTTTTTGGCAGACAGACGAAAGAGGGAAAGAGCGGAAACGATGAACCTCTCCTGTCCATTACATCTCGTCATCCACGCTTTCTTTTCTTCATCTTGAATATATGGCACATCCTTCATTACGTGACATTCGATCGTGGCCGTCCCTTAGTACTCCCGGTCCTTTACCAAGATTATTCTCTTTCTAGACGGGGCCGGCGATGTTTAGGTTGATCGACATACCAAAAGCGCGCCTCGGTCTGATACACACGTTTTTTTCTCTTCGAGTCATTATCAAGTCTAGAAGCTGCGAGCTCTGAAACATTGAGCCAAGCCCATAATCGTATCAAGTTCGGAGGATGGTTGACTTCTGCTGAGTCCCTGTTCATCATCACCTGCTTGGTCATTCGGTGTGATGAGCTTCTCCTTTTCAATTAACCGTGTCGGCTATCACTACACCACTTGCTCTTTGGTCGTTTGCTCAGTGTCTTCAGTCAAACACATCTAGTGTCCTGTAATCCCTTTGTCATGGGAAACCATGTGCCAAAACCAAGTTCATGGAGCATCAACATTGTAAAAGCCATGTTTGATCGTCACATCCGTCCTATCAAGTCTCATACAAAATCCCCATGGGATTTCTTTTGATTTGATACTAGACTACACGGAAGTTTCGCCCGTTCAACACCATCGTTATTTCATAACTGACCGTCTTTGAGTTTTGTCCCCCAAGCTCTTCTTGTTGGTGATGCCCTCACTGATTTCTGGGAATGGTTCATCACATTTGTCTCTCCTGAGCCTACAGACATGACAGAAGAAGATGAGCGCGCGGTCAATTGCGACTAATTTTATAATCATAGGCGTCTCGGTGGGAGTGTCTCTGATCCTTTTCAGACTCTGAAACCAATCAGACAAGTAGAGGACGTTGACCCAATTCCTACACCTTCATGCAAACCCCCAGATGTCTTTTTTGTGCATTTTGCCAGTTTCTGGTTGCTGAGTTTGGCATTCTTAAGTCTCCCTCGACAACATTGACTCCTGTCCTGTTGGATTCTTGATCTACAGGTATTGAACTCGAGCAAGATCAGCGAGCTTGGCTATCGAAACACTCGGGGTTTGCTGCATACGTACAATACCCTACTGTTCTACCCAGCGTTCTGTTTATCTCCATCACGGAACTATCCCGTTCGGTGGTCACTTCTACTTCCGTTCGCTAGCCAACGGCCGCTTCTCCCAAAATCTGGGACCTTGATGTCTTGCCCTCCACCAGTCTTCGGTTCGTACTCAACCCAGTACCAGCGAATGAGACAACCTTGAGAGATATAACTTTCCAAACCTTGGGTCTCACCAACCTTAGAATCTCCTTCAGGTGAAGTACATGACCCATCTAGTTCTTCGTAATTATTGCCGAGAGTGCCCTTGGAATCTCGCCGACGGGATTAGAGTATTCCGAGCCGATACCAGTACAGTGATGGAATCTTCAAGCCGTAGAATTGAAACGTGTTCCTTCACCTTCACCAGTTACGTTAGTGGCTTAAGCGCCCACCATGCACTAAGTTCTGATCATAGGCACCTCCAGCTGTTCAGTTGCCACTCGAAATTCTTGCACATTGGGGAATGCCCGACAGTCTTCTACCCAATACATGCAGGGCGCAGCATGCATCAGGGCGTGGCGTGACTAGATTTACTGCACGAGAAAGCGTGTTTTAGCCGTATTGTGGAAATTTGGTCATGCATAACGGCATATAAGTTCCTGACCTGAACGCATGGCAGGGCAGTAAGGCTAAGCCAGGCTGTAAAAAAAAAGTTGAAAAAAGTCACTTTGGGTTCATTTTGAAGCAGATGCAGAGGCAAGCCATTTTTCGTTATCAATAACACAAAACCCGCATTACGGACTGCATACAATGAGAAAACAAACATGGCCTTGCAAGGTTTCCAAAGAAAAAGTGAACGTCATGTACCTCTACACAGGTTGAACCCCTGCCGCAGATACTCGAGCTACAGGTTCTTAGGTATCCAGATAATAAGGCATGGTCTTCAAGCAGCCGACTGCAACATTTGTGAGAAAACAAGGTTTCTGCAGCATTATGTAGCTTCTTGCCCACTTCACCGAGTTTCCCGACTTTCAACGATATCCTGCCTTCGTGGCCTTTTCAAATGGTTCTGTAGCTAGTATAAGAACTTCCTCCCTCCCCCCTCTCTCTCCCGATCTTTTGCCAGTTGTATTCTTCCACCATCATCATAACAATCCAGACCTCCTGCCATCGCTTTCAGTCTCACCACCAAAGATACAGAGTTTCTTCTTGCCTATCTCACGAACATCCGAGAACTTTGCAAAGCATCAACCCTCTACACGAACAGCTGCAGCATCACAAAATGGCACCCAGCTACAACTCAAAGACGAACCCCAACGGCTACAAGTCGATGGGAAGACGGCCCACCAATTTCAAGAAGAACCTCTTTGTATCTCCTGAGGAGCAGGCCGCAGTCGACGAGTTCCACGCCTTTTATGCGAAGTTGGACATGGAGGAAAAGGTATGATCACTGATATGACCAAGCAAAGGTACAAAATGTTTGATCTGTTACTTACTCGGATTTCAGAACAACAGGAAGTCGCCTTACCAACCAGCCGACCATGACACGCCCAGGGCAAAGATGGAGAATCCGCTCCCTCCTGGAGCCAAGGGCCTAGCTTCCTCACGTTGGGCTAAGAAAGAGGACGACATCAAGCCGTTGCCCACCCCACAAGCAGCGAGTCATCACATGGAAGAAGACAAAAAGCCGCTGCTTCTCAATAACACCAAGGGGCCTGCTCATTCTCGCTTTGCCAAGAAGAAAGGGTATAACTCAATCTCGCCCGAGGAGCAAGCCGCAGTGGATGACTTCCATGCCTTCTATGCGAAATTGGACTTAGAGGAAAAGGTATGATACGAGTAACGCCCGGAGTGCAAATTTTTGTTTTGGGATCATCAAGACTGACCTAGATTTCAGAACAACAAGAAATCGCCTTACCAACCAGCCGATCATGACACACCCAAGGCAAAGATGGAGAACCCGCTTCCTCCCGGAGCTAAGGGGCTAGCCTCCTCACGTTGGGCTAAGAAGGAGGAAGAGGACCCGAAGCCGCAGTTTCCTGAGGCAACCAAGGACCCGAAGCCGCAGTTTCCTGAGGCAACCAAGGGGCTTGCTAATTCTCGATTTCCCAAGAAGCCTTCCGGTAAGAGGAACGGAAAGGTTACTTACACCAAGAAGTGGAAGTTCACTCCCGAGGAGGACGCCGCCGTGAAGGCGTTCTTTGCTGAATCATCGGAGGACGAAGAGCAGAAGGTATAGTCACTGCCCGGAAACTAGAGGTATCCAATGTCTACATTATCTGAAACACTTGCTTACTAACTGGGATCTCAGGGAAATGGTGAATCTGTTTACCGACCAGCCGATCACGACACACCCAAGGCAAAGATGGAGAACCCGCTCCCTCCCGGAGCTAAGGGGCTAGGCTCCTCACGCTGGGCTAGGAAGGAAGATACATTTTTCCCCCCTTCGACGACATCGAACTCAAGTGCCTGATTACGACGCCTCGAAGCAGTGAGAAAATCAGGAAAGAAATGAGAAGGAACGGGAACTTTGGTGGGAAATATGCGAGATTCTGCAGATGATCAAGGACGCAGAAGGAGGGCGGAGGATAAGGAGGACATGGAGGAGAAGATATGTAGCGAGGATTTTGGCAAGAGTGAGCCTGTGCTTTGGCAGGAAGGAAGTCATGATCAGCTAGTGCAGGGTTAATGATCGGAATCAATGGTTCTTGCTTGCCATTTTTCTTTAGACATTGAATTGTGTGCCCGCTTTTACAATCGCTTATACTGTAGGCTGCTTCGGCTTTTGGTAACATTTCCATCAAAACTTTTGCACCAGTCATATATATCTCTGTCGCTTTCTTTCAATGGTTAAAACCCATTACCTTCGTTACCATCTTCGTTGGTTTTTTTTAAAAAGCCTCGCTCAATAAAGCCAAGCCCTCCTGAGGCCCGAGGCTGTAGACACGACACTTGAGACATTACTATTCCTCAAGAGGCTAAATAAGTAACCGAACCAGAGGCCACTTGGCGGAACTGATATAACCTTCCCTCGTTTCTTCGTTCAGCCAGAACACAGTCTTGTGATTCGGATTTACCCTTCACCAATCTTTAGGAGGTACTCGTCAAGTGAACCTGAGATGAACCGGCCCTGCTCCACCTTACCTTACCTCAGAATCTTACAGATTTGCTGATGATTCCGGAGTACACAACCTTTAGCAAACCTTTTGTCTTGTTGTCGCCCTTCACCACCATGTTACTCTTTACGGAGGAGGGCGGTGGAATATTTCCAGGGACTCTCCTGAACCCTACCTAGAGGTATTTAGCGCACCAAACCACCCGCATTCCTATCTTCTTTAATCGCAGATCACAGTCAATTATCTCTGCCCATCCTGCAACTTTCAAAGCACCAAAACAGCAACCGACCACACAATTGACCCCTCTTCACGAGCAGTACAGCTAAACTGATACCGCGGCAATCCAAGATGGCCTCCAACGACAACCGTAAGAAGACTTTCAACAAGAAAAAGGGTAAACACACTTACAACAACAAGTACGGTTGGACTCCCGAGGCGGACGCAGCGGTGGAAGCTTTTTTTGCTGAACCCCCGAAGAAGGAGGGCAAAGAGCAAATGGTATAGTCACTGCCTAGAAAACACCTAACAACTACGTTTTTCGAAACACATGCTTACCAACTGGGATCTCAGGACGACAGTGAATCGGCGCCTTACCAAGCCGCTGACCACGAGACGCCCAGGGCGAAAATGGAGAACCCGCTCCCTTTCGGAAACAAGGGCTTAGCGGGCTCTCGCTTTGCTGTAGAGGAGGACATCAAGTTGCTTCCTCCGGGTGAGAAGGGATTGGCAAACTCACGCTTTGCCACACCTGAGACCGCAGAGAAGAGCTCAAAGGCTTGAGATACTCTTGTTTCTCCTACACCTAGTCCTAGTCACTGGAAGCGCGGCAATAAAGTAGGAGAATAGTAGCTAGAGGTATTTTACAGGAAATACAGACTATGTTGGCGGAGGGGATTTGATCTAGTAGCGTACGGGTAGTCTTGACTTTCACTCTGATTTAATGTTTCCTGCCAGTTTTTCCAAGTAGTGTGTTGTGTGTCCACTCTTACTTCTGCCCATTTAGAGGTGTTTATGCATTCTTAGCCTCATTTTCCCTCCTCTCATTGTAAGGCAGAGTCAACCGACCTCTTCCGTCGATTTTGTTGGCGCTTGGGCGAGGAAGGATGCACCTTATGTTGCGATGTTACACACCCCATGGTGAAGGCGTTCTCCGCAGACTCGCAGAAAGCCGAGAAGCAGGACGTACAGTCACTACAACATCTAGTATCTAGTATACAGTGTCTTTCCGCAGATGTAATCTTGCTCTGTATATTATATGATTCAAGGTTTCTGTCCCTGTGATTACTTGAGCGACCCAGCGACCGCGCCTCATCACCCGACCGGACTGAACCCCCAAGAGTCAAGATGGAAGAGTCAGGATAACATTGCCAAGTTTTTCAGTGTTTTCGAACCTGACCGGGAGTGAATGGGCTTTCGTCGAGTGAATGGCCTCAAGTGTTCTTTGCATCAAGGTTTCCCATGAACACCGGTCCTGTCCGTTTCTTTCAGTCGCCCTATATAACATCATCGATTCCTCCTTTCCAATCCTACCTCTTCAAGAATTCTTACAAAACTTCTATTACACCCAACACTATAACACGCAAAAAACACAACCACATTCAAAATGTCTGGCTTCCCGAAGCGTAGCGCCGCTTTCAACCCGCATGCTTATCGCAGCCAGGCTGCGTATGATGCTCACAAGAATTTCATCAATTCTCCAAAGCAGGAACCGTCCGACGAGCCAAAGCCGACCGGTTCATTTAACCGCAACGCCTACCGCAGTCAGGAGGCCTTTGATGCGCACCAGAACACTTTGCGTGGCGACACCCATCCTCCCAAGAAGCAATCCTTCGACATGCCGAAGAGCAGCGATTCGTTCATCCCTCACGGTTACCGCGACCAGGCCGGGCATCATTCGAACAAGAATACTCCACGCGCCAGTATCGATCACCCCAAGCAGCAGATTCAGAACCAGCAATTCCGGAAGCAGCGCCCCACCAAGCCAGTAAAGGGCTCCGGAACCCAGAGCGGTGCTGAAGGACCGCACTACATGTCCGACGCCGAAGTGCGCGAGTGGTTCCGCCAGGCCGATATCGACTACGAGAACAAGAAAAAGGTGCGCAGCTTTGCGTTAAAGTATACAAAACCTACAAGAACAGTTCCACTGACAAAATGCAATTGACACAGGCTGGGTACAACAAGGATTACGTCCCGGCGGGAGGCCACACTCCGGATTTCAGCGCCTTTCGGGCCAAATTTCCAGCGTCAAATGTCATCGTTCCCGGCATGAAGAACTCCCTGCATGCACCACTCAAGAGCACAGAGTCTGCGAAGGTCTAAAGCCGCAGGTGATTGTAAATTGAGGCGTAACATAATCGAGAAGCGAAACGGATTTGGCAAGAAGAATTCCGGCAGTGTTCTGGATTACACCGACGCCGCCACATCGACTGGTTAGGATGTCACAGATGAGTTGACATTTGAGGACACCATGACTACCTTTAGAGGGGTGATTTGCTTCTTTCATAGATAATAGATACTGGAACGACATATGGGATTTGTGCAAAAAAACCAGCATTATCGATATATTTTGTTTCTCATCACCAATTCGAGCCTAGGAGATGTAGAAGCTTGCATGCTTTTCTTTCTAATTTTCTTTCAAATTTAAATTTTTTTTTTTATTTTATTTTATTTTATTTTATTTTATTTTTTTATTTTTTTTTTCATTTGTGTCCACTTTTTCCATGAAACTTGTGATAAGATTCCATGAAGTGTTCGCACAGTTTGGTTTTTCAGTTTTGCATGCTGTATGTGCCATCACCCCTGACAGTCGTCGAGAGTCAAGAGTCGTATTTCAAATGTATACACGATACTTGGCTTTATGTTTTCGTGTCATTACAAATCTTTTCAAAATCATAGATCTGTAGAACTGGCCAGCCTACATATGCGTCATGACTTTTAGCGAAGACAGAACGCATTAGGATGCCGGAATGGATGGGCTAACGCTCATATCAGGTAATTTCGGGAGACTGGTACTTCACCAACCCGGGTTGAGATGAAAAAGGGTTGATGTAACAACTGCTATACTCAAAACACCGGCAGCTTTTTGAACATCCTCAAGCATTTATGAGTGAAGGGAATTGAGTACGTACCTACATACTACCTGTGCTTCCCTTCACAGTATCAATTAATCAAGCTTCTATACTAAAACCCTCCCTCTCCCACCCCCGTCTCACTTCCTCCTCATTCATTCTCACACCTACCCACTTCTACCCAGGCCTACCTCTAGCAAGTAACCCACCACTGTAGATGTTCAGATATTCTTATAATGTCCGACTTTCAGAGCAAGAACAAACAGTCGCGTGTTTCTTACGAGGTCCGCACATCAAGATTTCGAACTTCTCCACTCCAGAGCCGTTCCACCGCGATGCTAAAGGCCTGGGAGGAACAGTCAGAGTCATCAATGGTTCCATGTTTCGTCGTGATATTTTACTCGAACTTGGTGGGACATGTGTGTTGAACAAAGGAAAACGGAGGGATAATGGCGAGAGCCTAGGTATCATCTTTCATCTTGCTGTTCAGAGAACATGAAATTGCTATTGCTTCCACTATGATCTCATCTCGGATGCTTAGCACTTGCTTCTCCATCTGTGATACCCAGTATCAAATCAGTTTCATGTGAGGCGTATCTTCCCTGAAATATGGGTAAAGGCCGAGTGACCTACTCGCCTTTCAGAGGTGACGGGAACGAGTGACGTGATATCGGTCCCCTACTTGCACTCACCTTCCACTTACCTTGTCAATAGGTAGGTATGTACTTGCCTTCTCCCCAATAGGAATCCACCTTCTCAATAGGTACCGGCCTCCTCAACAAGTACTTGCCTTCCGTCTCAACTCTCAAAGGGCACTTGCTTCCACAATAGATACCAGCCTCCTCAATAGGTTTCAGCCTTTTCAATAGGGTGAGGTAGGTTCTTGCCTTCTCCATCGCACTTACCTTCTATATAAACAACTCTTCCACCCCTCCATCTCGTATCTCTCTTCCTTCCTTCCTTCCTTCTCACATACTGTCATCTTTTCCCTTGCCTTAAACCAAAACGAAATCGCAAATCTGCAACCATGTCCGACTTCCCCACCTACATCAAGCCTTTTAACAAGAATGCGTACCGCAGCGCTGCTGCTTACAAGTCGCATCTCGAGACTCAGCGCACGAAAGCATCACCCATTCCTCACCATGCGCCCCGCACAATCACCCGTCCAACCCGACCTCCAACACTTCGTGTGGTCCCCCGATACAGGGCCCCGCGCGCACTGGAATCGCCCAAAATAATGACCGACGAAGAAGTCAGGGCTTGGTTCAGGGAAGCCGAGGAGGAGTATGAAGCCAAGAAGAAGGTATGTACGCCCAAGATCACTTGATCAAAGTCTCAGCCCTCAAGCAGCCATCACTAACGTCTTCGGTCGACAGGCCGGTTACTACGACGGTTACGTCCCTGCCGCTGGTCCCGCACTGGCTGATACTACCAATGCGCTGCCGAAAAGGAAGACGGGGATGGAGAACTCAATGCACGCGCCCAAGAAACAGTCGATCATCTTGAACCCAGCTGCTAGACCCTACCGCGCCGTCCTGGCCAACCCCACCAATTCGCTGCCGAAGAGAAAGACGGGACTGGAGACGTCCATGCATGCGCCGAAGAACTTCAAGCTGTCCATCGTCACGAACTGAGCCGACCCATTGCTAGGTGTAGGCACTAATCTGGTCCTCGAACCACGAGTGAATGGCGACAGCTTGAGCAAGATGTGAGGAGGAGTTGAGCGATGGGGGTTTAGTAAGAGGGACACTTTGCTTTCTTAGCAAAATTGCACAGTTTTCTTAATGGCACAAGAATGTCGTTGCATTGGTCGGGCATTTTAGGTGTTTTGGCATGTTTTCGCCTGGTCCAGAAGGATCGCAGGGATAGAAAGCGAGGCAAAGTGATGAACGCAGGATGTGATATGAAGTGGGTATAATTCGGGCTCTGTGAGATGTTGGCGATGGGGTGGAAGTTACAAAACCTCCGTATTGATGGTCTGCCGTCCAGCCTTGAGGGAACAGACTAGACCTTGTTGCTTTCAGAATCAATCCGCTCTTATCCATGAGTGACAGTTCCGATGTGATCGCTGAGTGACACTTGTCGTCAGTCATACTTGAGGCTGAAAAGTGTCTCGAGTCCCTTGTATGTTCTCCATCGTAAGCATTCAGTCTTTTGCCAAGCTTCCATCTGTAAGTCGTCACCCTGTTTGCTCTGTTTCTATGCATCGCAGCTTAGCACCAGTGCATCTTTCAAAGTTATCGATTCTAGCCATCCGTCACCCGTGGTGTCTCCGTGCTTCTGTCCTCAGGGAGTATTGGGAGGCTGCTGTAGAGAGTCGAGATACGTTTAAGCAGGGCCCAGGGAGGTAGG